AAAAACAAATAAAAAAATTTACAAAAAAATAACATTTAAGAAAACACTTTAACAAGTCCGCAACAAATTAACAAGTGGCTCTTGACGGAAAGGGATTGTCTGAAATACCGGAAGTGACTCAACGATAGGGCTTTGGAATTGACGTAACGCCGTAATGTATTGTGGGAGCGCGGCGCCATATATCTGGGCCACGAATCAAAACAAACATGCTGTGTTGGAAGGACGGTTGCTAGAAACATGCTTAAAAGCAGTTTAAAAGAAAAAGGACGGTACAGAGACAGGTTGCGTCCGGATGGAAAGAGACGGTATTTGCAGAAAATAGCGTGCATTGGAAATGTGGACCCGTATGAAATACGGCCGTGGAGTAGAAACCCTGAAGACCTACCGCTATTGACGTAGCCTGATATATTTTCGTACCTTGTCTGTGGAGTCAGCGCGTACAAGGTGAACCAGTTTCGCAATTATAAATCTCTGGAGGGACACATCCAATTCACCAAAGATTGGGTACAAGATTTGTGAGTACGTCTTCATTCAAACGAAGGTAAGTCAGCTTGAGTACTACGAGTAAAATGCGTTTGATTTTCCCCCGAACATTCAGATTAGTGCAGCATAAATTCATTCATGAGGGGGAAATCACAGTGAGAACATGTGGAGGCTGTTAGAGGGATAACATAGTCAGTTCAGTGCATTGATGTGACATTGTCCTGAAGGATTTAGTTATTCCTTATGGTTAAAGAAATTGCAATGATTTATTAATGTTTATTATAAATAATCCCAATTCTATATCTTACTTCCGTGTTTGTGTCCTGTGTCACTAAAAATACATTTTATTTTAATTTTATACATTGATTAATGACCTGCAGAATCTCCTTATCATATTAGGTGTCCATAATTGTCACTTAAAGTCAAACTTTATGCTTTCTCCATCTTGAAAGTGATTACATCCTCGCATTACATACTTTAGGTTCGTTTTCTGCAGGCGGGTTTCTGAAAGAGAACAGGCAGCTTTAGAATATAACATGCAGCGTTCTACAGATGGATGCATAAAAAAAAAGAAAAATTACATGTATGTGCTAACTTTCTAAACACTTTGTTACATTTATGATAAATGGATTAGAAAGAAGATAAAACACATTTATGTCGGCCTTGGCTCATTAAAGTCCTTGTCTTTAAATTAACTTTGTATGTTTCAGGTACTGCACTCTCGAAGACTGAATGAACCAGCATTGCAGCCATGGGTCATTGTGAGCATCACAGGGAAGGTTGAAGCCGCCCACTGCACCTGTATGGCCGGAGTCGCGGAGACCTGCAGCCATGTCACTGCTCTTCTGTTTAAAGTAGAAGCAACAGTGCAGATCTGTGGCACAAGGACTGTTACAGATGAACCTGCATACTGGGTTTTGCCTGGTAATATGACCAAGATACAGCCAGAGGTTGGCCATAAGATAGACTTCTCCTCTTCAGCTGCCCCCCCAAAAAAGGCTCTTGATCAAAACATAAACAGACCATGTCTGTGAAGGTTCTCAGTCATCCAGGTCATCGTAGTCAAAGGAGCTTGCAAAGAAAAGCATCTGGACTTCTTTAAGTTGCTTGAAGACGTTTCACCTCTCATCCGAGAAGCTTCTTCAGTTCTAAGGTCAAATGGTGGAGAGTCCCAGATATAAACCTAGTGGGAGTATCCCCCCACAGAGGGACAAAAGGACCCCCTGATGATCCTCTAATCGCCTGAGCCAAGGTGTGAAACTGGGCGTGGGTCCCAATCAGCCAGAGTTTCGGGTGTGTTCATTGTGAAACCTGGCCCCACCTTATCATGCGAATTCCTGAGGTCAGATGGCCCAGGATGTGAGTGGGCGTTAAGGCGTCTGGGAAGGGATCTCAAAACTGGATTATAGATGGCAGAGAGTTGGTGTCGTAAACCCCCGCCTCTGTTCAAAGATGGTCGCTCACAGTGGACATAGATGGCTTCTTTCACTCCTCTTTCAAACCATCTGTCCTCTCTGTCCAAAATGTGAACATTGGATCCTCGAAAGAACAGACCATCCGTATTGAAAGGTAAAAGGAGCCGTCCTCAAAAAGAAAAATCCCACCTGCTACTGTGGAGGAGTTGTCACTGCTATTGGATACTTTGCTGGAACACAGTAAAGCTGTGGGTTGTGGGAATGACCCATAATGTTTTATCTAGGGGTCTAGATTTATGCCTGAAGTGCACTGCCATGTAAATAATTTGCATTTACTGAATATGTACTGACTGAGTACCACTGTTCAAAAGTTGAATAAAGAAACAAATTTGTTCTAATTTGCTATGACCTCAGAGTGCATCGAAAATAAAACTAATAGGCAATAAAGAGTGATATGAACATATTTAAAACTTACCGGAATGAAAATGTCTGGAGCACACCATTCGTCGCGAACGAAATGGCTCTTAGAGCCGGGTCTTTGACGTGAACGACCAGCTGACTCCTTATCGGTAGCCGTGGGTTTTTTTTTCTTTTTCTTTCTCTCACCCTCTCTCTCGCACTTTTTTTCCGCTTCACTCCGCATGCGAGCCTTGTGCTTTTACGCTGGGAAGAGGGGGGAGGGGCGGTATTACACTGCAGTAGCACAGGAACAGAGCAGGAGAGAGAGAGAAAGAGAGCCAGGGACAACAACGTCACATTAGAAAGGTATAGTAATCATCCACAACTATTTTCAGTTGCAGATGATAAAGGATTCAGAAAGTTTATTCATGCAGGCCCATATGACAGAGAATATGCATGTTCTTTTGTTTTCATATTTAATTTATATTTAATTGTGTTGTGGTTTGCAGTGTTTTGTGTTGTTTCACTTTAAATTTGTTTAAAAGGAAAAAGCTGAAAATTTAAATAGTTAAAAGTTGAAATGTGAATAGTTGGTTTTTGTATTATATGATTTATTTATTACATTTTATGTGGAGTGAATAAATAAAAGTATATTTATGGTGGCCCTAGAGACAACGCACGTACAAACACGTACGAACTCCGAAGCCCGTACAAACTCCAAAACATGTACAAACTTCAAAGAAAATACAAACTCCAAAACATATTTATATATAAACATATATAAATAAAATCACTTTTTTTTACATTAGTAATTCCTTTTGTGTATAATTTTATGTTATTGTTAATAATAAATAAATTAAAGCCGCAACAAGACAACCTGAAGAGCCGGTTCAGAGCCGAAAGAGCCGGCTCTTTTTAGTGAGTCGAGCCGAAAGAGCCGGTTCTCTAAAAAGAGCCGGAAATCCCATCACTACACACCAACAGATATTTGGAGATGGAAGAGAACTGGATATCAGCTCATCTCACAGCTGCTATCCAAAATAGACGCCTTCTTTTGGTAACATCTGATACATGAGCTGCCTCATGTTGCTTCCAGGTGGGGATAGAATGAAAAGATAAACTGGAATATTATTGTGCAGTGAAACACCTTCATTAACCTCCTAGGACCTGGTGTCCACATATGTGGACATCACATTTTGGGTTGTCTAGACCAAAACACTACATTTTGCTCTACAAGGACCTGATATCCACTTACGAGGATATTATACTGCCACTGTTCTATCGAAATTTAAAATGAATGTCCTCATATGTGGATCTCATTATTCTCAGAAACGAAAATCAGGTAAAAAAAAAAAATCTGGTAACTCTTTGTTTTTACATTCATCAGGTCCCAATCAGCCCAAATAGCAAAGAGAAATTAAAAATGCATGCCATGAAAGAGTTCAGGTCTTGACACTGAATCCTAAACATACATCCTTTACACAGCCTCATAGGTGTGTGAGGCTAAAGTCAGACTGAACTGAGGTACTGTTGTATTGTTCCAGAGGGTTAGAGAGGCAGAACCTGCAATATGCAATATGTAGCACCAGCTTTAAAACAATGTCATTGGATTGTTGGTCCAAAGGCCCAGTCAGCTGCCAGGGTGGGGCGCAGCTGCAGAGAGGTTGTTTAGCTCCCACAAAACTATTTCTGACAGGTTAAATTGTGAGAGGGTTTGTCTGCCCGGCTGCACAAGCATTTATTGAGTGTGGAATGAGTTTGAAGGTTTGTGTGTATGTGCAGAAAGAGAACACTGCTGTCTTTTTTCTGTGTGTGTGTGTGTGACCTCTGGTCACAGATTAAGGTCACAGCTTCTCTGTCAGGCAGCACAAGATGAGTAATGTTTTAATGTGAACTTATTAGGCTCTCCTGCTTTTATGGGCAGTCTGAGGCTGGAGATGGAGAGCTCGTTTTTCACTTGGATTGACTTGACCGCAGACTTGAACCAGCTTTAATGCCTGGTCAGTCTTTAATCCCCGATATGAGAAAATAACTGAAATTTCATTGGAATTAAAAGAAAATACATTAAATAATTACACCAGTGAATGTCAAAATGTGTGTGCAAAATTGTATATATGTAGTGCTTATTGAATGCAATCAGTTGGACAGGTAGCATGCAAATCTCTTAATTTGTTTCATTAATGATTCTAGAATGTATCAAGTACGAGTAATCTGCAAAACAAATTCATGATAATGCTGCTTGTGCTTGTGAATGCTACGCATGTTAGCTGTGGCTGATCGATACAAGGAGTGTGAATATTTTTAATCTCTGATGTGTAAAAACCGTGGAACAGACACGGAAAATATTTTTGCAAAGTGATTAAAAATTTCACTTCATTAATTTTTGGGTGTGAGTAATAAAAAAAAATACTATGTTTGGCTGCTAAAGCTTATTAAATTAAAATTTGCTAAGTCTGTTCTCATTGACATTTTTCAGAGAGGGTCTAAAAGTAGAGCTGTGCATCTTTTGCACAACTAGGCATTCAAAGTATCTGACTGTTTTGCCAACATTTTATTGTTATTACGCCATAAAGCACGATATGTGATCTCAGTATGTAGTGTACCACTAGTTGGGTTATTTGGTTAAACTGCAAGATAAACACAATGTGATTTTCATATCTAATGTGGAGTCCTGCAAGGGTCTAAATTGAGGCCATAACTGTTTTATTTTAGACTTAGACTTAGATCCTCCCATGCTTTATGTGGCATATCGGGTGGCAAACGAACACCACCAGGCTCGATCTTGTGCCCGGGCTTCAGCTTCTTCCAACGATATATATTCAATGTCTTTAGGTCTTGATGGAATGACCTTCGCCAGGTGTTGCGGGGATGTCCTTGTGGTCTTTTAACGCCCAGGGGTTGCCAGTGCATCGCTGTTTTTGGAATCTGTGTGTCATCCATGCGGAGGATATGACCAGCCAGTCGGAGTCTTTTGCGTGCAACGATGTTGTGAAGTTTGACTGTGCCACTCCTTCGCAGGATCTCCTCGTTGTTCATCCTCCGAAATACCGCAGCTGCCTTTCCAATGCGGCATTTGACATCCACCTCCGCATCGCCGTCAAGGGAAATCATGCTACCGAGATAGGTGAATTTCTCCACTTCTTCTAGCTGCTGTGTCCCGATGTAGATCCCTCGTCGTGGGTCCTTGGAGCTGACATGCATGATCTTTTCAGAGCTGATCCTCAGGCCAATCTTGTCAGCTTCTCTTCTTAGATCAGTCGTTCCTTGCTGTAGCTTCAGCTCGTCTTCCTCAAGTAAGGCGATATCGTCAGCGAAATCGAGGTCGCCAAGACAGTCTTGATCAGACCAATGGATGCCAGCTCCTGTATGCACTGCAAATTCCTTGTAGCTTGACAAGATTTATTGTCTTAATTTTAGCCATATTATCTTGTCCATCTTGTTTTGAACATTACAAGCTAGTTTCCAGTCTCATGTGTTAGATGATTAAACTTGTTTCAAGTATATATTACTTTTTTTTTCTTATTTAGTCTGTATATCTAAAAATGAACCATTTTACATTTATTTCAAGCAAAAATAGCTTTTAGATAGAGTGTAAAACAAAAATTATCTCAAAATAAGAAACATTCACCTTTTTCCTTGAAATAAGAAAGTCACTCATTGGAAGGTATTTATTTCAGGTTTTTAAAGAAAGGACATCTTCAAGGTTATATTTTGTCATAACATAGACACTGTTTCTGAAATTGACTGGGTAATATGACGTAAAATCAAGTAGGTCTTCAACATCAGTCAGTTCAGTTGCTTGGGCAAGGTTGGGAATTGCAATTTCATAGGCAAGAAAGTCTTTGTTGAAACCCAATGTTTCATAGACCTGGTATTCAAAACAATAAAGTACACTATTAACAATAAAAATGTTTTTTACAAGTCCAAAGATAGGGTTTAAACCATTTGCTGAAATGAGTATAAGAGACCTGTCACAGATGTATTTGTTTCCATGTAAAATAAGCTTTACTCTACACTTTACTCTAACGGGCATGATGTATAGTATCTTCAATCCCCAAAAAATCTACAACCTTTGATTGCAAATGGTCCATATTAGCAACCTCTGATATAGGACCTAGTTCTTTCTCATTTACAAATATCGGATGCTCAGTTCCTGCTTCACTTTGGCAACACTCCAGCAGCTGATTGTGGTTTACAAGAGACTTGCATACATTCTTAAAATTTAATTTGGATGAACATTGTTTAAAAAAACTGTGTTTAGACTCGAATCTCATGCACATATGATGTATTACAGGTCCCAGGGCAATAATTTGAGAGGGAAGATGCAGCATGTAATGTTGCTTTGGTATTACATTTTTTTCTGGGAATAGTTGCCTGAATTGTTTAAGATGATCTTCTATCATTTTTTTTAGTTTGGACACAGTTTGTAAAGACACAACTGGGGCAAAAACTATTTTAACAATTTTGATTAAATCCAAAATAAACTGGATAAAGGGATTTTTCTCTACAACACTGTACAATAAGAATGGCAAAATCTTGATCAATATAAGCATTTGTCCAGAGGATTGTTTGAGTCTGTTGTCACTTGAAGCTAAAGTAGCAATACTAATTGGTGAAGGCTTGTCATGTATGTCCACTGATGAAAAAGGAAAGTTCTGCATGGCAGAATTAAACAAGTCCAATTCCAAATTTCCAGATAAAACAAGGTATTTCAACACACACTTAATTTCCATTGGTGCCACTCCTTCAAGAATTACATGCATAATATCCTGTGGCATCTGCTCTATGAGATTAAAAGCTGGGAAATCAACTAATTTGCTTTGTCTATTTATGCCAAAAGTCGTTTTGAGCGAGGATTTCAAAAATTCAGTAGTTGCCCTTTCTATTTCAATCCACTGCCTAATGTGTCCGTCCAATGTCCGTCTGGTGAAACTATGTTCATTGAAATTTTCTTGCATTTCATCAAAAGTACACTCACAATGACGACATTTGCTATACGTAAACCAACTCCTTCCTTAAATCCTGCAAGCTCATGCTGGGCCAGAGTGTCTCCACACACAGCAACAACTGCTCTGTTTAAATAAAATTCCCCATTGACAGTGTTAATCATAACACCATCGTACAGTAACTTCAAGTCCTCATTGATTCTCCGTAGTATTATATCTACCCCACACTCATCTATGTCCCTAGACTTTGCGATTGCGAGAAGTTTAATGGAAGCCAACTTTGATCTAAACTTAGGGTCTATGTTGCCTAAGGTGTAATAAAACATTAGTAGTTTATTTACACTCGCACGTGACCCTAGGGGGTTACACATTTCTATCTCATCAGAACAGAGTATCAGTTGTAAAGCAGAGTTCTCTGAAAACAGTGGGTGGGTTTTGAAAATAATTCCATCATTAATGTCATACAAAAAACTGGCGTTGGGGCAACTCTGAGGTCCAGCACTGAGCATGTCAAATAGTCTTGAATTGGATAATAGCTGTTTCAAACTTTCAATCAAAGGAATGTAGTAGAAAGACTTGTTTTTGATTGCAAGAACTCTCGATTCTCCTTTTTTAACTCTACAGGCATACTTGGAAATGAGGATCTCCTCAGGTGTGACAGGGTTGAAATGCATCTGTGTTACACGGTCCTGTAGGTTTGAAGCTGCACATATGGGAAAGGGATCCTGAAAGTTGTCCAGTGTTGAAAGAACTTCTTGTTGTAAAGGTCCATTGCTGTCAGGTTGCCTTTCAAGGATGGTCTTTATTTTTCCCCTCAAGGACGTCAGAAGAGCTGTTTGATACTGTTGGACACCAAGGACAATGTTGTTGACACTCCTCTGATGGGGAAAAAAACCCCAAATCAGAGACATGAAAACGTAAATGGAAAATATAACAGAAGCAAAATGCAACTCTATTTCTTTAGCTCAAATTAATGAGCCACTGAATGTTGTAATTTACCAGTGGAGCAGTAGAAGAAGAAATCAGCCAATAATTGGCATTGTTTTGCATGACATGCCACATGCATGACTCACGTGGCACAAACACATTGCACCGAGCAAGATGGAGGAGCATGAAAGGTTACAACAGATAAAGTGAACAAATGATTACCTCATTTTTTTTTTTATGTAATTCTACTTTATTTGTCTTTTATGCCTAAAAGTGAACACATTTTACACTGTTAAGCCTATTTTAAACTGTTGAGTGTGCCCAGAGTTACATACAGTACATTGCAGTGAACTGCACAACTCTTGTGCTTAACTTCTTCGTAATGTACATTTGTTCTTAATAACTTATATAGGTGAAAGTAATAGCTGAATAAAACCAGCGATGAAAAACAATCAATTAATTGCAAAGATAGTGGACAGATTATGAAAAAAAATCATTAGTTGCAGCCTTACATTGAACCAGACTTATTAACAAGTTAACAATGACACCCCCATAATATCAGATGAAGCAGTACCTGTGATAGGTGGCATTGCTCCCGCACACCAATAGCAAATGCAGCTGCACATCTGGCAAGATCAACAGTTTCTCTTTTACCCTACAGGACAAAAAGAAAAACAATTGTGTAAGAAAAATGACTCACTCAGAATGTGTTTCAAATTCCACCAGATGCAAAACAAAACAAAGAAATATTCCAAACTGTTGTACATTTTTGCTATTAAAAGATTCATACTACAATGGATAGCTAATGAAGCTGCAAATGTTATGAACAATTTAAGAGTTATTTAATGAAACTTAACCAATCTTTATGGAATCTACTCTGAAGTTAACTGAAAGAAAAATTTGAAAGCTGCTTGGTTCATGGAGCATCTAACAACAACCAAGGCAGGTACACAACACTGGTAAATAAGTTTATTTATTATGTTTAAGTATGGTAACTAAGCCTACATTGTTGTGCAAGCCTGAATTTCAGCGGATTCATGCATTTGAAATTCAGCACTGGCCTTCATACCTATTAAAATATTCTAATCTAATTATC